CGCCAATTAGTAATTAAAACAATATGTGATCTAATGCCAATTGACCTCGTTCATAAGCAATTCAATTAGATATATCTCCACCGAATTATTGGAAATTACCTCATTCGACCATTAATAACGAATATTGCAAATTCCCTTCCTATTGAATATTTCGCACATTTCATTTTGCCTGTTTTTTTATTCAAACCGTTATTTTATCTAGTTGCTTTACAATCACACCAAATTTCTCAATTAAAAATCGAGCGATTTTTTTTTGTTAAGTTCTAAATACAAAACCAAAAATCCCCAGCGCACATTAATAACAATAATCGTAATAATAATCGAATGGTGAGTGGGATTTAATTGAAGTGATCGGTACTTTGAACTAATCGGATGAAATTAGCATGCGAAAAGCATGTCTTGCCATATTCAAAGTGTTGTCGGTTTTCTTTGGTATCAGCAAAATTTATCATTTTAGGGCAACGCAGTTGGGTTGGGTTCTCACGCGCTGTGAAATACACAACACACATTTTCAACAATTTCAGCTTTGGTTTGGCTGACAAAGTTTTCATGGCAGATGTGTAAATAATGCCAAATCGTTTTTGGTGGATGGCAAATAACCAAAATGTAAATAATATTTTTGGCAACATTTTAGTATATAAACGGAATATACACATTCAACAAACTGAAAGCTTTGACGCTTTCTCACATCAACTTACAACTACTTAAAAAAGTTTTGGATTCAAGAGATTTTCCAGTTTAACAGAAACACCATCACCACCGTCGCTGCCACTGCCACCACTGCCACCACTGCCACAGTAATAACTGTTTTGATGTGAATACGAGAATTGCAAGTCGGATTTAACCGAGAAAAATTCAGAAACAACAAGTTGAAGGAAAACACGAAAACTGATGATGATGTAGAACGCAAAGCAAAACAGAGATTTCGCATGGATGAAGATCTAAGGTTTTTTGCTTTGGTGTAACAAAAAATTGATGATTATAAACGCAAATTATGTTAATTAGTCAAAGCATAAAAATTATTTACGTAAAGAAAAAAAAAGTTTTCTCAACAACAACAATTTCCATTGTCGATTGAAGAAACTGTGCTGCTGCGTTGGACGAACGGTAAAAATAATTTGTTCCCTTTAAATTGAATATGTTGCTGCTTGTTATCGCTCAGATGAATGCTGCCTACATTGAATCGATATTATTCCGAACCTGATATCACCGACATCATCATCGGGCCGCATTCACTGTGTGTCGCATTCTTGGGACTCTTGGCCATTGAATAATCGGAATTTCAATCATTTTCTTCTATTTATATACGCGCCGGCTAATTTGTGTTCGCTTTCAATTAAAAAATGTTTTTCCTTCGCGGAAAAAGAAACAAATAAAAATGAGACGAAGGCGAAGAAAAAAAATGCGAATCGCATTCAATCCATAAAGCAATAAACAACAATTATGTAAGACATACCTAACCATTTGAAGCGAAACTCTCAAACTCTTCGATTTTCAATCAGACATCAAACGACGATGATGTCGGACGAATGAACGACGGCGAAGACGAACGGTGTGTATTGCCAATTTCAAGACAATAACAACAGAAGCAGACAGAAGAAAACTTCACTTGAACAGCAAAAAACATATAAACAACAAAACCAATTGAATTGTGCAATTCACGGTTTGTACTGATTGTTGATTATTCGTTTCGGCTTATGAAATTCGATGGTGCACACGGTGTGCGGAGCTCTCTTTTTCTCTTTTTTTCTTCGGTCATTACTTAGTCAGTTAGCAGTAGCAAAATTGAACCTATTATACTTTACTAATTTGAATTTGGGTAATCAATCGTATTCTCGGTTTTTTTTTTGCCTCGTAATATTCGGTCTGGCACTCTCAAAAAACCTCTGTTGTCTTGCATGTTTCTTTTGAGATTGAATGGAAATGGCGTACGCAAATTCGATGAATTGACCTTTTTTTTCCTTTCAGAAAATCGAATTTTATTACGAAAAAGTATGTGTTCAATCTGTTTTGTCAACCGCATGTTTTCGTCTTCTTTGCCCTTGCCCATTCGCTTTGATGTAGACGATGAGATTGAGAGAAAATTGAATCCAAATAGAAGGCGATGAGATTAAGGTCTATAAAGCAAATAGCTTATAAGCAGACCAAAAATCCATATTTAAATTAATTCTCGATGAAAGAAAAATAGAAGCGAGAGATAGAGAGAGATGGATATATAAAAAGCTTGTGCAGATTTGAACCGATGGCCCGTTTGACCGTATCTTCATGGCTCGTTTCATATTGCCATAGTCGCATTTAAATGTGTGTGAAGACAGTTTTTTTTTATCATCATCGTTGTTGTCGTCATTTTGTCAGTAAACGTTGTGTGTCTTGTTGTTTTTCTTCATTCATTAACCATGTTAAGTTTCTGTACGTTGGTGTTTTGTTGTGTCTCTTTTTTTCCAAAATTATTAGCGTGAGAAAATCATATATGTACCGTTAAGAGTTTCGCCAGTGTACAATCCATAAACTTATAAGCTCATTACATCTAATGCACACACAAGAATTGGTAGAAATGCCATTATGGTTGTGTGCTTATTTGGCACAACGGCATTATTTTCCACCATGCGATAATGAAATGATCCATATTTCCCAAAATGGAAATCATCATCGTTTGACAGATTTAATTGTGCGCATATCGTTTTATTTTTTTTTTTTTCGTTTCGACATTCATTCCAATTAATATAGCCGATATTCAAATTAAATTCTCTGCTGAATTTGTGAACTATTTTAAATCATCAACAACTATAGACAGGCACCGAGGGGAAAACACTCTCGAACATAGAATTCAATTGGAATGTATATGTGAATGTATGTGAGGAGCGTGAGTGCGACTTTTTTTTCTCCTCTAAATATTCATTTCGAAAGATTGGCCGGTCGATTTCATACCGGGAAGCGGCAATGCAACGAGAAAAAAAACAAGTTCAACCAAATGTTGGGAACAATGAAATGCACGTCGAAAAGGTAATTAAGTAAAGATTTCATTCTGATGATTGTTTGTTTATTTTGTTTTATTTGCCGTTTTTTTTCTCTCGCTCTCTTTTCATTCCGGCTCGTCGCCACTCATTCGCTCACTGTCACTAATTATTTTTCTCGCTCGCTTGCGCTCTCGACATTTTACTTTGCACAAGCTGTGTCTCTTCACGGTATACTTCCTTTCTAAACGCTCGCTGTTTTTTTTTTCGCTCTCTCACCACTTCACTTGAAAATTCATTCATCTGTTTAGTAACATCTAATTTGGTGTGTTGTTTAAAAACGTGCTTCGAGTTAAAAAGTCTCAGAAACAACAGCAAAAACAAAAAAAAATCGAAGCAAAGCAGCAAAAAAAACATTAACACATACACACAGCACAAACAACAACCGCACTGAGACGAGAGTGAAAAACAAAATCATTTGCACGGGGGGAAATCGAGAGACAGTAGTGAATAGATCCATCAGTACATCATTTCGTGTGCATGACACATTCATCAAAAAAAGAACAACAAAAAAAAAACGAAAAGAAAATATGTTCATTTAAACACACCATCGGTAGTATGGTTTGGCTGCTAAAAGATCTTCTTCATTAGCTTCCTATTTCATATGCAAGAAATGTGGCCGAGCGAATGAACATTGCGATTGGAACACCATTTAAATATGCCAACACGTTTTTTCGCCTTAACTTTTGTGGATGTCTTCGTCGTTCATTGTCATCTTTTTTCCTTTTTTTTTCTTTTCTCGAATACGCGAATATGACCGCTATCACATCTTGTCGGTGCTCTCAGTACCAATATAGATATTTATTTGCATTTTAGGTTACAACTCAATCCATCTTTCCGTTGCTCGTTCATTCTGTCCCCATGAATACATAGCTGGATTGCGGTTGCTCAGTATCCGGGTGTGCGATTGCATTTTTGTTATGTTTACAATATTCTTTTATTGAATTGAGACCGAAACGGGAAGATTAATTTTCAGTTTTTGTTGTTGTTGTTGCGCTGCCATTGCGCTGATTACTTTGGATTGTGGTAATGTGTATTCACAATGCATCCGAATCCTTGCTCCATTCAGCCCATGCCATGAATCGTCTTTCGAATGGTGATTTCGTCCGTGCCGATGCTTTTTTTTCGCTCTCTCTCTCTCTCTCATTCCTGCTCTCTTTGCCGGTCTTCCTCTCTCGCCATACTCTCGTAGATGTGATTCTTTTGTGTCGTTTTTCATTCTTTTCGCATCTCTCTTATCACACATCTCACACTTCTGCGCTTCAGTGAATTTTCGAGCATTTCAATGCGGCGTTGGTTGTTTCTATCCTCATGCACGTACATAATGTCATTATTTTGCACAATGTACTTTGTTCAGTCACCGTGCGTTGTTGTGCTTATTTCTCACTCACTCTTTCACCATAAAACAGTTGTATTGTCGCTGTGTCGCTGTTGTGGTCGCCGCCTTTTTTGTATGTTGCATTTTGCTTCTGTATCATCGCCTTCTTCTCGTTGGATTTTTTTTTTCTCTTTGCATTTTCAACCATTGAATTTATTTGCTTCAATTCTTCTTCTTCTCATCACTTCAACTTGTGTTCACTTATTCGTAGATATGAGCAAATGAAACCGCATGCAAAATTCATAGCACAAATGCGAATGCATTCTTTGGAGAATTCTATGTGATTAGAATCAAGAATTTGTACACCGAATAGCTGTTATGTTCGGTAGATTGCATGGTGTTCATGTGTGAAAAGTGCGCCGTCAAACCGACAACAATAATTGGTCAAGTCAATGCAAACCGAAACCTTATAATTGAATGAAATAGAAATGAATGCCTGAACTGTTCACATCATGTTTGCAACGGAAAGAGTAAATAACACAACATGCCACGTATATTGGCAATATTTTTTCTTTTTTGACTGATTTGCTAGTAGAAAATCGACTCTATCTCATTTTAAATTCACTTGAAACTTAAATATATTTTGGAATAAACATGATCCATTTCAATTTGTATCCAAATTTCTAATTTACTTTAAAATGCAAATCGAAATCATTTTTATTTACAGTAAACATTGGACATATTTTATTTGACATAAATTGAATTATGCTTTTGTGAGAAGCCATTCAGCATACAAATCAAAATATTGGCTGAGCTCGTATATAGAAAGTACACACCCTTTCGAACCTTATTTCCTGAAAGAAGAACTTTTCAATTTTTTATCACTCAACTTAAATTTGAGCGTACGCCGAGTTATAAAAGAGTCTTTTATGGCAGCAAAACGGGATTTTGGATATTTCCTACGAAATTCATTCCAGCTGAAAACCAATTATCAATTTAATTTCATATAAATAATGATTTACATTAATACAATCGTCCTAATTTACCTTACAGCCACATCAATGTGCTTGAATCCAGCCCTTTCGGCAATTATATTTGAGCTGTCCGATGTAAAAACGGATGATGTCACTTCTATGTCATGTTTTCTGCAAATTGCTTCCCTCGCTCTCAGCATTTTTTCACCGATTTTACGGCCACGATAATCAGGATGAACCAATATCCCATCACTTGACAAATAATAATCAACGTTATATGTACTGAAGACATCAAAATCAAATACATCGGCCATATCGGGCTTTATCTAATGATATTCAAATGTGTTAAAACTCGAATTTATTGAATCATTTTTCTTATCCAATTTTACTTCTTCGAGAGATTCATTATTCGGTGTCTGCACATACAATAGATTAACGCCCACCAATTCTTCTGATCCATCACGTCCAATTTTGAGGCAACATACTGATAAATTGTAATTGATTAGTGACCGCCAACAGACTTTATCGTCTTCCTTCTCAGTCGTTCCAATATCTATTTTATCACATTTGCAGAATGTTTCAATATTATAATATTCAATAAAGTGATAAAAATGAAAAACATGCCAAGCGACTCGGTCATCGGTTCCAATTTGTTGTAATATTCTGCCATTAAGTTGACTGCGTCATCAAATTTGGAAAAAGGTATATCTTGAATGCGATACTCAACCATTTTTGTACTGTTAACGTCTTTGTCATAAAATATCTCATAAATTTCATCTGAACTTGATGATTCGCCATTTTTTCGTTTTAGTTTTTCCGATTTTGTACCGATTGTTGCCACGATAAGACAAGCTCCAAAGAGTATCACAACGATCAAATTTCGATTGAACATTTTTTTCCACTTGAAGTAAAAACAATTGTCTAAAGGACGTGTTTTTTTTTTTAAATTGCGGTGATCGATTGATGGAAAATTATTCACGATTTCTAATATATTTGTTTTCATTTAATTAACATTTACAGTATGTTCAACAACAACTATAATTTTTTTTAACCCGAAACAGTTCGACAGTTACTATATGGTCGCAACTGAACTGGAGCATATAGAAAAGAGGCAAATTGCACAAAATTGAGTATTCTGTTTTAGGATTTTGAAAAAGTCCCAAGAAAAATGTAGGTAATAATAAATTAAAAAGAATTTTTAAACTTTGAAAATGACCGAAAAGTAATTTTAATTACCAAAAGAGTCGGGTTAAAAAATTATGAAATATTTGAGCTACATTCTTTGAAATGTCATAACATAGTCAAAACTCATGACATAGCTAAAGTAAAATAAAAAACATCTGTACACAACACAGACGTGAGTAATTACAATAAAAAATGTGTATTTATCAAATATCAGTTTTACCAATAATTTCAGGGTCGGGAGAAGTTCTCTAGAATGAATTACAAATTATTGGAATTCAGACATATTATATAACCACTGAAATATGACACCAATTAAGAAAACCAATTTGAGATTGATCTATAGAGAACGACGCGTTTAAAAATTTAGTAAATATTAAGAACTCTATCGATGTTAGTATATTGACAGTGTAGAACACGGATCGAGAGATTCTTTCTGTTTTTCACAAGTAATTAAATCACTATCGAAATGTTTTCATTTTTCATAAATTACATTTGACACGAATTGCTGTAAACAATACTTTGTGCTCTATTCAGAAAAATACATTCTTCGAATATCTGACAAACTTTTGATGTCATTATGTGGTATCTTAAACTTTAGTAACCGACAAGTTATGCATGAATCTTTTATGTCAGCAAACACTGATTCAGGATTATTCCTGCGAAAGTCATCCCAGCTGAAAACCAAAATCAATTACTTTACGACGTTTCGAGTAAATCTGTTTTGTTGTTTTAAATATTAACCTAACGGATCTGTCGACATGCTTGAATCCAGCCCTTTCGGCAATTATATTTGAGCTGATCGATGAAAAAACGGATGATGTCACTTCTATGCTATGTTTTCTGCAAATTGCCTCCCTCGCTCTCAGCATTTTTTCACCGATTTTACGGCCACGATAATCAGGATGAACTATAATCCCATCACTCGTCAAATAATAATCGACGTTATATGTACTGAAGACATCAAAATAAAATACAACGGCCAGATCTGGTTCAGTCTAATGATATTCAAATGTGTTAAAACTCGAATTTATTGAATCATTTTTCTTATTCAATTTTACTTCATCGGGACATTCATTATTCGGTGTCTGCACATACAATAGATTAACGCCAACCAATTCTTCTGATCCATCGGGTCGAATCTTAAGACAACCCACTGATAAATTCAATTTTAATACGGATTCCCACCAGAGTTTATCTTGTTGTTGTTCGCTCTCAACATTGATGGTGTATAAAATTCAAATGATTAACAATGACAATGTTTTGAAAATATATTGATTATATAGCATGGGAATCGCATACCGAGCACTTCATTCATCGGTTCTTGTGTGTTATAAAATTCAAGCATTAATTTCAATGCATCTTTAAATTTCGATTCAGGTACATCTTGAATACGATACTCAACCATCTTTGAGCTATTTACGTCTTTGTCACGAAATATCTCATAAATTTCCACTGAACTTGATAAATTATCATTCTTTTCAAAACAATTTGGTGGTTTTACCGAGATAGTTTATCAAAAGACAAGATGTGCTCCGAAAAGTAGGAAAATTGCAACTTTTGGATAAAACATTTTTTTTTTGCTGCTAAAACAACTGGAGAGAATTAGTTTTATTTCTGTTAATGAGTTGTCGAATGTTTTCGTTTCATTCAAATGTGTTCTTATTTGTTTTTTAAATTGCTGATAAGCAGACGTAATAAAATTTAATTTAAATTATAATGATAATCAAAAACACGTGTATAACAAGATATGTTCGTCAAAAATGTGAAAATCATTTGAATATTCATTATTTAACAAAATATTCTTCAGAATTTCATTTGAATGATATTAATTGAGTGGAAAAAATATACATCATGTAAGATCAAAAGTTTTTCACCATTTAAATTGTCGTCGTTTCAGTTTCGAAACGAACACTCTGTTTTCTGTACATGTTCATCCTTTGATGGCTTTGAAATAGTTACCTCTACTCGAATTGTGTATCCATTTGAGATAAATTCAGAAGATTTCATCTTAGCGAGCCAAAAATCAACAAGATGAAATGGTGATAATACAATTCACACTTGCTAATCAAGATTTTCACTTGATCATTACAAGCTAAGCATCTCAAATGCATTTTATACACTTTACGCGGTAGGTGTTGCATGACACTTGGAAAATCCTTATTCATTTATGCTGTTGTGTCTTGTGTGTATGTTAACATAACGTAAATAATCATTTAAAATATATTGCGTTCGGTCGATTCGGTAGTAAATCAGAGAGATAGAGAGAGAGAGAGAGAGAGAGAGAGAGAGAGAGAGAGAAAGAGAGAGAGAGAGATGATTGCGAGTGCGTTGCATGAACCTTTGAAAATGGTGTGTGACGAAAATGTATAAGGGAAAGTGTTTTAAATGAAATCAAAACGAGGATAGAATTTTCAACGTGATCGAGCCAGATAGCAATAAACAAACAAAAACCGAGAAAATAGACGGAGTGATGCGTGAGTGAGATTGATTCAAAACGGCAGAAATAGCATATTTGCAAAATGAATAAAAGTGGTACATTAATAAATGTAAAATGTAACAAATATGCAAATGAACACTTAGCAAATTGGCAAAGTGTAAATCAAAACTCATTTTTCATATGGTCTATGTCTCGGCTGTTGGGTTCTAGTCGTTCGTCATGTGTGTGTTTGTTTGCGTTGGTTTGAAAGAAAGAAAATGAACCAAATAAACGGGGAGCAAACGCGACAAGTAGCAGCAATAGCAGCTGTAGCAACGTCAGCGACATCAACCTCTGCTGCCACAAACAATATTTTACCAAAAGCATACGTACACAATATGCAAATTATGACTTTTGTCGGCTACAATTTCAATGATAAACAATAATAATACCTGATAAATAAATTACATACACAATTGGTTTGCACAAGGCATAAATGTTCCTGCTTCTACGGTCATTAGCTCACATTTTCGGTTATTCTCTCACTCATTTCATTCGGTACACATATATAAACAACACACACACACATAAAAAGTGAATGAAAGAAGCATATGCACACCGTAGCAATGAAGTAATGGCAATGGCAATGGGAATGTATATTGTGTATTTGTGCAATTTGAACACAAAACAACAGTGAATGAAACGAAGAATTTTGTTGCTATTTATAGTTCGCAGATGAATTACAATGTGAGAGATTTATTGCAATGACGCTTGTCGATGTGATAGAATAGAGAAAGAGAGAGTGTGTAAGTAGACGAGAGGACAGACAACGGTGACAGCGGTGAAGGCGCGACCAAACTCTCCATGTGTCTCGTTCTCCCATTGTGTTGATTGAATGAGAGCGAGTGAAAAGGAAACGGAAACCGAAGACATGACACAAAAAACCATGCTCCATAGCTATCAGACAGATTCATCGGATGTTTGCGAAAACCGCCCGCAATTGAAAATACGCATAAATAAATATATATTGTATATACATATATGAGACACGAAAATTGTATAAATAAATATATATATTCCGATGTGCAATGTGGTTTATATTAATGTAGATTGGTCATTTCTATTTACTTACAGTGTATCGCGTACACATCTTTGTCATTTGCTTTGTGATCGTTTATTATGAGTTTGATCTCGGGAGTCTATTCACATATCGATATAGAGCGAAGTGAAAGCGCTTGATAGAGTGAGAACGGCCACAGTTGAAACGGATTCGGTTGGATATTATTGTATATTTGATATTCGCTCTTCGCTATCTCTTTCTTTACCTCCCTGTCGTGCATGTGTGCCGATTTAATTTTAACGTATTTGTTACGCAATTTGGTTAAAAGCTAATATGTAATGTTCAAATAATGATGATTCATGTGTGTAATCGAGGAAATTTCGGCAAATTGATATATGCTGCAACGATGCATGTACGTGTATTACGGTAAATTTATTGTTTGAAAATTGTATTTGATGTGTGCTCAGGAATGAATCGCGTTGTCAATGATAAACAACAAACAAACATAAATATATATATATGTAAAGATAATACAAATTCCCGGCCACAACATGCCAAGCGAGATTGTATAGATTATCGCACAGATACCCCCCTGGTGTACGAAATGCAAACGGTATGTATGTATACGATAATACGAAACGAGTCAATGCAAATAAAATAGATAATCTAAACAAAGAAATATGTTTTTGTAAGTATCGTAACAACTATTCCATTGAAAGTGACAACATGCGCAAATACCGTGCCATAGTTGATGGAACGGGAACCTTTCATATGATCGAGGCATGAATGTTTTGTGGGTGTATTGCGTATGTTTACGATGCAATGCAGTAGATTTTGTGAATTTGACGACCATTTGCTTTTATTCAAACATTAATGCGACCATAAATAGTCTCGTTCTGTGGATAGAACCGCTATATTGGAACTTGAGATCTGGGACTATGTACATTATAATATGAATATGAAATAAGTGAGTGAGCGAGATGTGTGTTGTTCATGTGAAATTTCTGAATATTTCTTGTGCACTCTCACTCTATTTTCATGAATTGTTGCATAAATTACCCACTTTGTCGAGACGTTTATTCATCAGACACAAATACACACACTATTGCCGGGTCCATGTTTAGAATTTTCGGAAAATGTGAAAATGAAAATGAATGCATTGCGGTACGGGTAATCAAGAATAGCCCAAATGCAAAAATCTACACACACACAAAATAAAGAATTTGCAAGACTTCTTCGCAATTCATTCTTATTCAACAAATTCAACAAACAGAACTGGCTGCACCAATCAAACACATTGCGCACTTCTCTCTCTCTCTCTCTCTCTCTCTCTCTCTTTACGTGTGTCTCACTTTGAGCTGCTGAAGCACGGGCTAAGTACTTTCTCTCTCTTGCTCGCATCAAACATAATTACATTTACATATTCACCAATGATGTTATGAATATAAATACACAAGTATCTTAAAGTGAAGTGGAGATTCCGCACTCACTCGTTCACTCACTCTTTTCTCACAAACTGTTTATAATTTCATGGCTAATATTAACAGTTTATTACATATTCGCTAAAATATTTCAAGCGTTGTCGCCACGCGGCGATATTTGTTTTGGTCTTTTCCATTGATGTTGCTGTTGTGGCTGTTGCTACAATTGCGATATCGCTATGGCTTTATGGCAGCCCGCTTATTCTGCAAACCATGTTCTTCTCTCTACTCTCTTTCTCCCTATCTCTCTCTCTCTCCCTCTCTATCTTCTCCGTTCCGATGTCGAGATCATATCTGCCGGGCTACGCGAACGATGATGATGAAAATGTAAAATGAAGCGACGACAGATAATTAGTTTCAATGCTTACTAATACATCATAATTGTAATGCTTATAATAATAATCACAGTGAATGTCTACATTTTTTACATATGCTACACATTATATGATTATGATGTGAAGTTTATCGCTATTTGTTTTGAATAAGTGAATTGATGTGTGTGTGCGCGAACGCGCGTTAGTGTCTGTTACTTGTGAATTTGATTTGAATTTTGGATGTGCACTTGTTCGTTGGCTGTCGCTTACCCTTTTCCAGTGCTACTTTAGATCCGCGCGTACGTTGTTTGTTCGCTCTCTAAAGAGACGGTTTGAATTTTAGAACACACTTTATTATGCACCGTCGTTCTATGCTTCAATTTTTTTTTTCAATTCACACTCTCGCTAACTCTCTTTGCTGAATACATTTCTGCAAACTTTTTGAATGAATAATGGTGCTGAGGGACTCTTATATATATGTATATTTTCCAACAGAAAACTATTCAAAGAACATTAAATAACTAAGTTTAAGCTAGTAGCTGAACTCTTGCTGGTTGTTCATCGCTTCTGTGTGCCTCATGCATACATGGTAATAGCAGGAAAGAGAGATGAAATTTCTCACTTTTTTGATAGTGACGATAGAGTGAGAAATGACGTAAGGTCGCTTAACTTATTCTCTATTTTTTTTTTCTCGTTTCAGTTTGACTCCTTTGTTTTGCGTTTTTGTTGGTGAGAAAATTGGAATTTATTAATGAAGCTCATGAGAACTCGTTTAAATTGAGATAAAAATCAATTTTGATGCGATATAAATTTCAAATATTTGATTTAATTTCGCTATATTAATCAAGCGAAACAACCTCTTATCGCTGAAATCGATAAAATAAATAAATTCGAATACATTTTTCTTTTGTCAATTGTCTCACTTCTCTTCTCCTCGGTTGCTGACCATATCGTTTGTGCGAGTGATTTTAAAATTAATCGTATGACTTTTAAATCCATTTTAAACTGGCTAGTTAATCTACCGAATTACAATGTGCACCAATAAATCTTACGGTGGAAAAAGGTGGTTTTTCATTTTTCTTTTGTTTTTTTTTTGTTGTTGTTGTTGAAAGTGCATGTGTTCTGGGCTGTCGC